CCCCCCCCCCACGCCCCCCCAGCGACTCCAGTGTGTGCCCCATTGCGACCCTCTGCTCTGGGACAGGGTTGCGCATACTTGAAGGTGCATGGGGGCCACTTCAGGGGGAGGGTTCCCGTTCGATTCTGGTCAAGGGCACACATCTCTCTGTGGGCTCCTCCCCCGGTGGGGTGCATGCAGGAGGCATCCAATCCATGTGTTTCCCTCACGTTGATGTACCTGTCTTTCCCTCTCTCTTCCACTCTCTAAAAATCAATGGAAAAATGTCCTCGGGTGAGGATTTAAAAAATGTTAAAAAAATAAAAAATAAGGCAGGCTCAGATTCAGGGTAGGGGGGGCGGGGAGCCTGGGCTACTGCCTTTCTAATGGTCCCCAGGTCTTGTCAGCGCTGTGTCTGCAGGCCATTGGGCCAGGTTCTTAGAAGACAGCTGTCCCGTTAGCCAGGGAGCAGCCTTTGAAAGGCTAGACTTACTATGACAAAGGTATATAGAATGTCTGGCGTGTTGAAACGACGATTTGGATATACCAGGTTAAATACACCTTAAAATCATCCTGTTTTGCCCTCGCCGATTGGGCTCAGCGGATAGCGTGTGGCCTGTGGGCTGAGGGGCCTGATTCCCGTCAAGGGCACTGGCCAATAACTTCTGTTGCAGGCTCCATCCCGGCCCTGGTCTGGGCACATCCGGGAGGCAACCAATTGATGATGTGTCTCTCTCACATCAATGTTTCTCTGTCTCTCCCCCTCCCGTGCACTCTCCCTAAAAATAAATAAATAAAAACCAATGGGAAAAATATCCTGGGGTGAGGACTAACAAAAAATACATATACTAGAGGCCCAGCGCACAAATTCGTGCACTGGTGTGTGTGGGGGGGGTCAGGCTGGTCTGCCCCTGATCGGGGTTGATGGGGGGGGGCGCTGCGGGGCCACCAGCAGTGGGTGGGCTGGCTCCACCCTGTTAAACTCCCAGTTGAGGGGACAATTTGCATATTAGCCTTTTATTATATAGGATATCTAACTTGTGGCTATTATAAATGTAGTCACATGTCAGTGTTGGCCTAGAGCAGTGATGGCGAACCTATGACACACTCATTTTTTTGGTTGATTTTTGTTAAATGGCATTTAAATATATAAAATAAATATCAAAAATGTGTCTTTGTTTTACTATGGTTGCAAGTATCAAAAAATGCCTATATGTGACACGGCACCAGAGTTAAGTTAGGGTTTCTCAAAATGCTGACATGCCGAGCGCAAAAGGTTCGCCATCACTGGCCTAGACTCAGTGTCCCTTTCTGTGCCCTGCCCCACCCCCTGGCTCCCAGGACTCCTGGCTCCCACCCTGGTGGACTGTTCCTGTGCTGCCCTGTCCCTGAGGTTCCCCTGGAAAATATCCAAGACACTCCCCCACCTCGTGGTCCGGGACCCCCACCCCACCCCACCCCCCTCTGTGCCCTCTAGGTCCCACATACTTGAGTGCTTGGCTCCCAGCCCCACCTCCAAAAAAATGAAAAATCCTTCTGAAAAGTGGAGACTCTGGGGTGCCCAGGGGCCTCCTGGAGGTGCTGTACCCCCACCCACTTCCCCCCATGCACTCAGCCCCCACTTTGCCAGGGTTTGGCTCCTGCCCCTCCCCCTTCCAGAGCCATCTTCCCCGGGCCTCACCCCCGTGTCTCCACAGCTTTGCTTCTGCCCTTCGTCAGCCCCTTCACCAAGTACGCCGTCATGATCAACAAGGTCACACCCTACAACTACCCAGGTGAGTGGGGCTGTCAGTCTCCCAGGTCTCTAGGTTTCCATGTTGCCCTGATTGTCTGTGTCCCTGATGCTCTGACCCTCACTCTCCTGTCTTCCCTCCCCTGGGGCCCCAGTTCCCTCTTTGAATGTTCACTGATGGGCCAGCCCGTCTCTGGGGCCCCGGAGACCTGCTGGTCTCACTGGTCCGCCCTCCTGTCCCGCAGTGCCCGTCCGAGATGATGGGAACATGCCTGACGTGCCCAGCCACCCCCAGGACCCCCAGGGCCCAAGCCTGGAGTGGCTGAAGAAACTGTGAACTCCTCCCATCTCCCCCCTCCTGCCCCCCCGACTGACTGGGAGGTCCCCTCCCCGGTGGCCAATAAAATGTGAAAACCGACCCCCGGTCCAGTGTGTATGATTAGAGGTGGGAGCAGCAGACAGTGGCTGAGGAGAGCATGGGGTCTGTTTATTGGGGGGTCAGTCAAAGGGGGGGCTGGCTAGGGTGGGGTAGGGCAGCAGCTTGTCTGGCCCCTGAGGAACCCAACTTGAGTCCAGGGCCTCGTCCGCTTCGAAGCCAAAGTCTTCCTCCACCTTTATCTGGGGGGGGAGAAAAGCTCCGTGTGAGTGGGCCTGGGTCGGGGGAAGGCTCTTGGGCCCCACCATTCCTGCACTCTGGGGCCAGACAGCCTCCTGGTGCACCCCAGAAAGTCCCAGCGTTCCTGGGTCCCTGTGGCCTCCAGGTGCTCCAGCCGCCGTCTCCCCTCCCATCTCCTCCTACAGCCTCCTCCAGTCTTCCTCCTTCCGATCCTGCTTCATCTGTCCCCTCCCTGCC